ACTCAGCTCCATGACCAGCCGCAGGACCCCATGGGCAGCCGGGTGCTGGGGCCCAAAGTTTATGGTCAAACTCGAGACCTTCTTGTGAGCCAGAGGGTCCTTGTCTGCTCGGGGGAGGAAAGAGGAGAGTCATGCAGGGAGGAACATCCATCCTCAGCAGCGCTGCTGCCCCTGAGCGCCCTCGGCCTTTCCCGGCAGCACAGACACGCAGAACAGACACTGGACAAACGTCCAAGCTGAGCTCAGGGCTTGGCTGGACATCAGGAACACAACGTGCTGACCGCCAGCTCCCATCTCAGCCCAACACGAGACCCCTGGGACAGGTCCAAGGGCCTCCTGCTGCCTCCCAGGAGGCTCAGCCTGGGCCGGCGGCTATTCCCAGAGCACAGGGAGCCAGGCAGCTTCCCGATGCTGCGTAGGTGGAAGGACCGAGGCCTCGGCAGAGACGGGGCGCAGGAAGATTTGCAGAGCCAGCACAGAGAAGTGAGGGATGAGAAGCTCAAAGCCTGACCAGGGCCTGATGCAGGAGCATCTCGCAGCAGCTCAGGGGGCACGGATGGGGCTAAAGCTCCCAGGGAACTTGCCCTGTACACCTGCCTCCCCCGAGACCCAGGCACCCACGGGACACTCAGAAGAACAAGACACCCCCCAACCACCAAGTCCTTGCTGAGCACCCACCAGTCTCAGAGCAACCACCAGCACCCAGTGAGCCCCAGTCCAGCCCCGAGCACCCACCAAGCAGCACCCCTGGGCACCCAGGGACCCAGGACACCCCCAGACCCCCCCAGGACCCACTGGGCTGGTGCCTCCCCTGAGTCCCAGGCACCAGCAGGCATCCAATGAGCCCCAGACTGACCCAGGGCACCCCCCGGTGCCATATAACCCCCACCTGACAACCACCAAGCCCCCACAGGGCCCTGAGTGCCTCCTAGACAGCTCTGAGCACCCACAGGGACTCCAACGAGCCTCAGTCTGGCTCTGAGCACCCCCAAGAGCCCCCAACATCCCCTCAGGGCCTTGGGGCCCCTGCAGGGCCCACCCGGGGCACCCGACGTCCTTCCAGGGCCCTTCCCAGGGCCTCTGCC